GAGAAGCCCAATTTGCAACTGAAGCCCATTTCGCAGCTGAAGCCCAGTTCGCAGAAAATCCTTGCAGCGGTCCAATTCGTTAAGGAAGCCCAATACGAATGCAAGAATAAAAACATCAAAGAGTCCTATCAGATTCAATTTTCTGTTGTATTTTTAGAAAGATAAAAGAGATTAGGATTACCAGTTAAGAGATAGGAGTAGATTAGATCTAATCTAAGCATTATCTTTTAGAGAACTGATCTCCCAATGGAGAAAGAACTCCTTAGAGGAGAAGGAGACAGCTCCCTCCTAATTCTATATAAAGGGGGGGCGGACTAGCACCAAGGGCATCATCAAATCCTCAAAGAGAGCTTCAGTCTTGAGAGAGAGCAATCAACAATCAAGGAGGAAGAAGCAGAGTTCGCCCCCTCTCATCTGGAAGCTGCGATTTCATCATGAAGTGTCTGTAAGGTTTTTATTTCTGGTTGAAGGGTTAGAGAATGTTTGATTCTATAAACATTGTGAGATCTAATTGATTTTTATTTCAGTTCATTGTTTATGGGTATTCATATGTTTTCTGCGATTAACTATGAGGATTATTTTTTTTGATTAAGCAAGAAGGGCCCCTTGCTCATTCAATGAAAATAATCTATGGCCGATTGAACATCCAATTTCGTATATGATTGGTAGGTTCAATCATGGTGACAACTAACAGAAATTGATTGCAAAAAAGTTTTCGATCTATGTTAGAAAAATGTATGATCTGGTTTAAACGATTCGAGCTTGTGAGATCGCTGACCAGAATTGGGTCTCTCCCCTCTTAATGCTCTTAATAGATTAAATCCTAAGAGCTTGTTTAGGACTATCTATTAATAAAAGAAGCAATTAAAGAGTTTGTTTTGGTTGTCGAATAATATGAGTAGAGGTTGGTTGTTAGAGCTTGTTAATGGCTATAACCAATTTATTCGTAAACATATGAATCTATCTTTGCATCGATGATCAATGATAAGAATCAAAGCTGAACTTGTCCCTTCAACCGGAAGCTATCTCCCATCGATTTGATCTTTTGTTTTCTGTTATTTTCTATTATTTTCTTGTTTTCCTTAGCCTTACAACCCCCTTACTTCGTTTACTTGGAAATAAATCCATCCAATCCTTGTGGAGATGACCTTGCTCATCACTATCTACAAATTATTTAATTGGAGTAAGATTATTTATCTTTAGTTGGATTCGACACCACTAAAATCCTAAGGGCCTAAYTGTTAAATGGGTTTCAAAAGACAAGCAGGGACCCTAGCTCAAGCAGATAATAGGCTTTGTTAATCGTCATCACAGTTGTTTTGATCAAAGCTCACAAAGCATTGCCCTCAAGGAATCCTTCAAAGCCATTRTGATGATGAATTAAAAATATTGTTCTCAAATATTTGAAGTACTCACGCATAGTCGATTTCCAAAATTTTAGTCAACTATTGGTTAAAGCAATCAACCGATAAATCCAAAGTAATCAACCACTTCTTCACAAGCTATAAACTTCATAAAGTCATGCCTAGACTAGGTTAATTTCAACAACTCATTCGATAGTGTCCATAAACCTAGCAATTCTGAAACAAGTAGTTCATTCYTTTATTGAGATTACATCATGCGCACCACATGCACATGTCAGAGTGCATTGGGAATATTTCTCGAAGTTGTCAATGAGAAATATTTTCAATACATGATTGGGATATGCTGTGGGGCGTTTGGGACACTGCTGTGGCATCCTGGAGAGGAAAGAGAAACCTCTAAGAAGAGAAACAAGTCTTCAAGAATGGATCCATCACCTTTGGAATCAAAGTCAACATAGTCGAGAGCATCTGGCAACAGGAATCCTGATTTCAAAAGCATTCCATCTTCGTCCCAACAGCCAACCATCTAATGATATTTCTCGATATCTCAGCTCTTTCTCAATATGAGTCTCTATGTCATGCATGATAGAGTAATAGGGGGGGTTAGATGTAAGACTCAACAATTTAGAGACCGATATGGATGCCATTAAAGAAAATGAATTGCGGAGTGCTCACTCTATAGAAATGATTAACAATGAAATCTTTGAGCTCTACGTTCTTCAAAAAGGAATGACAAAAAAAGGAAAAGGGAAATGAATCAGAGATCTCCTTAGGCTGTGTTTGGTTTGAAGGAAAAAGTAGGGAAACCTTTACATTGTAGAGAACTTCAAGACTATTTCATATTAGTTGTAATTTAGTATGTATTTGGAACCGTGGGTGGTTTATTCGCTAAACGTTTGTAYTTTATTTGTTTGTAAAACCAAGAAAATCAATAATGATCTATTTATTGACAATTAGGTGCCATTAAGCACCACATCAACAAAACAGTGAATAAACGCCTATCCATTGGGGGAATCACTAAAATGAAGCTTCCCCTAATGGTAGGCACGCACATAAATCAAGGTCTACTTTTGCAATTCTCTATAAGTACAAATCCACAGAATGGGGAAATGCTGAAGTGGCACCTATATGGCAATGTTTATTCAATAAACGCTCACGGTTCCAAACCCCACCTTAGTTTCTTTTGTTTTTAACTGCTACTTGTAACAATTTTTTTGAGACACAATCCTTGTTGAACTATTATGAGTTAGATTTTATTAGTTTGTATTTTATTATTATTATTATTTTATGACTTACATAACAATTTTAATATTTTTTGAAATATTAATTAGTTATTAAATTATTTTTAATTAATTTAATATTTTTACTATTTATTTATTATCTATTTTTAAATAAATTATTTTATTAGTATATTATTAAATGATTAATAATTTATTAATGGGTCAAGGGTCTAATATTAACTCTTAATATTAAACAAGTTTACCCTTCAATTCCCAATTGTCTCCCGCCAAAATTGGGATCCATTATCCCACCTTTTTCCCATCCCATCCAACAAACCAAACATAGGAAGTAGACTTATTCATGGGCCAAATCAGGCTTTCACATGTTATCAACATAATGTACTCATGCCCGAGTATGGGAGAATGGGAAAATCAGAGATTGGGAGTATGGGACCTTGCCGGAGAGATGATACCGTCTGCTACTCTCCGATTGCTGCTTGTAAAAGAAGATGATACCATTGTTACCGCCGGTTGCTGAAGAAACCTTCCAAGTTCTTCCAGGTTCGAACAAAAAATAGAGGGGAGACTATCGAACGAAAGAAATTAGGGTTAGAAATTTAGGATATGTATATTATTATATTTTTGATGGGCTGGGCTTTAATGTGAAATCCCAAGCCCGACCCGAAATTGAGTGGGGCTTAGATAAGAGGGTCCAAGCCCGAGCATAATAATATGTCTAAGTCGGACCACGGCCGGGTTGGGCCATCGGGAACAGGTCCTTTCCTCCAACAAACCATACGGAACCTAAGTGATGCATGGGTGCGGTTTCCCCTGTTACTTGTAGCTTTCTTATTTCCAAAACACCCTAAGAAATAAAAAAAAAGAAATAAAGTGACCCCGCTTTATAAGAGAAACGATTCAAATTTGCATCTTCAAATGGAAGCAAAACTGAGACACAAATAGCAAATCACATTTCAAATAAACAGATGCAAAACTGAATTTGCATCTGATTCAAGCAAACAGAGCTAAAAATGTCCAACGTGGTTTTAAGGGGTTA